TTATATATATATATATATAATAACTTTTTTCACTATTCTTTACCTTTTCTCCCTCTCTAGGATATTTCGGCGTCGCTTTAATGGTCACATTCCTGGGTGGAACTTGAATCAAATAAAATACGAATTATGTATTACTATTTTATTTCTTGGCTCTAGTTCATTGTTTTTAATATACATATGTACTTTTGGAACTATAAGTCTAGCTAACAAAAGTGATCAACTACCAGAGTAAGTTGAATATAATTAAGATATCGGATTGCAAAATTAATATATGGTTGTTTATGTTCATATTGATAAATAATAAAGCAGTTCATGGTGGATAATGAAATAATTCGTTTAGTTGAATGTTTATTTGATACACTTTAATATCAGATGTGACTGTACTTTGAAATATTATGAAATAATCGAATTCTCGTTTTAAGAATTTGATTCGATCTATATACTATATTCTAATATTTCAAATAAAGACTACATAATTTGCTACTTCTGTGTGCGTACAGTTGACGGATAATTGAATGTGTGCGATGAGAGGGGAAACAGTGGCAGAATTGGAGGCTTCACATCGATAAATCGCACAGTTGTCTTCCCGGCTGGCTTTAATCATCAGCTCACTCGATACACCACTTCCTGTAATTCGAGACTGGGTGCTGATCTGAAAACAGCACAATAAAATGTGACCATGTGAAATCAATTTACAATAATTACTATAAAATCAGTTTGTTACATTACATTACAAATATTAACATTCTGGTTTCAATCGTGATGTTCATGAAGATTTTAACATGTTCATAAATTAGAATGAACAATGATAATTTTAAATAAACATTGCGATATGAGTGAACCGCGGAAGCTAAACACATACACTATGATAATTGACATGTATAATACTCAGTCTACAAAGAAAAAATGATTGAGGATAGACACCGTTAGCCATTAACGCTTCAGATGTGTTTTTATTGTTGGAATAAAAAAAATTAATTATCCTATAGGGACTGTAAGCTATGTAGAATAGTTGGAAGGTTTATTCGCTTTTGTCTTGTTTTTCGTGTTGAATAAAAGAAATGATTATGCCATGTGTGTGTGATTCCACAAGCTCAACCAATGAGCATAGCAGAAAAAACAAGAAATATATGAGCAGTATATGCAGCAAAATACATTAATTAGTTCTACAAGTAACATTGAGGTAACTTTTATGAAATCGTAAGCGCAATATACGCACGAAAATAAAAAAGTAGCAGCAGTTGGTAACTTCCCTAAAGGAATGAAACAGAAAATCATTAGTTTGAAATTTGACTATTTTGATTATGTATATATATATATATGTGTGTGTGTACAAAGATGTTATAAAGCTTTAACTTTAATATAACCCATAGAAACAAAAATGAAGAGGAATCATTGCACTGTATACATCTTTGAATATTTAATAAAACAAGGTATACATCTTTTAATATATTTTATTCGATAATTCTATACATTACAGCGATGTTACGAAAAATGACAAAACAATCCACGGTAGTTAATGTGAGGCTGTTTAATTTTTAAAAAAATCAGATGATTTGATTGAATACTTAAATTCAAATAGCCCGTTGTTCAGTATTGACCGTGTCGTGATTTAATTTGAACTATAATAAAAGTTATGCATATTGTTCAAAGTTTTGATTAATCAAAATCATTGAAAACATTATATAACACAGTATCCAATGTGACAAAGGTTATGTGTTTTCCGCAAATGTTTTTGTTTACAACCATTCTCTTAAGGTTATGTGTTTTCCGCAAATCTTAAGTGATATAAGGTACAACGATTTCGTCAATGTATTGAGGAATCGCAAATTTGAATGTTGTATATACACTGGAGGGGTTACATAAATGGCAATTAAAAGATGCTTATTAATATGGTGTGCAAACGAAAATAATGGATGGTTAGTGTTTTTCAACAGTGTATCATTACTAATAAATTTTAATTAGATCATTTATGCACAATAGTCAAATTTCGCTGGTTAAGTACTGGAAATATATCTGGACTATTTAGATAATTTGAAAACTTATAAATTCAGAATGTTTTTCGCTGTGTAGAAAAAAAATCAATATCAGTAGATCCAATCAAACCAACCTGTCTTTCTCCACGAAACCACTGCAAGTTAGCTGGAGGATTTCCACCCAGCGTAACGCAGATAAACCTCTGAATACTTCCTACTAGTATAGGGGTTCCTTCCTCGTATTCTAGAATTGTTGGAGGATCAGGTGGATCTATGAAAAAATGTAGACCTTTTTTTATAAAACATTTAAACAAATATGTCGCATTTAGGGATTACGACATAATCTATATAAATAATACGCTTGAGTTTGTCTGTCCGGAACTTTTCTCGCAAATTTTTTGATCAAACACTACAAATCTCATATCGATAGAAAGGCCTTTGTCCAAGGAGTCCGGATTGTATATTAGCTTTTCAATTCAGAATCACTTTATCTGTATTTTGCTTAGTCAAACTTTTCAATGCAACGATTATGGTACACGATAGCACAATGTCGTTGTCATCAAGTGACGACTGGCTTCGATTTAAACTTTATTCTTTCATTTGCAAGGTATTTCACACAAACAACACTTAACCCGCGTATAATTTACTGAAACAAAAGCTAACCTTACACTAAATACAATTTCTATGGGCTTTCTCGACTTATTTAGGTCTAAAATATGCATGCGCATTTCATTCAAAACCATATGCTTATCACTTTGTGAACACGCATTCGGACGTTTCTGCTTATTCAGCTAAGTTTGCCTTCATTACAACTTTACATTTACTTTATTTTGCAATAATTTTGCTTCGGTTCGTTTCATAGACTGCTATAAACAGCTTTTAGCTACTATTTACTGCGGGTTAAATACTTCGTTTTTGTGAGTTTCTTTGTTTCAATCCGTAAAATTGTGTCAAGCCCTAAACACTCATAACTGTTTCATACTCTATACACTATTAAAAATACCATTAATTTGCTTCATTTTACTTTACATCTAGTTTTATTAAAGAAAGTTACGTTTACATGAGTTTGTCTGATATATATATATTTTTTAAATAATTCAACAGTAATCGATCTACCACACAATGCCAGCAAAAAGCGTATCTTAAACGCCATGCGTGAAAATGATAAGATAAGGAAAATTCAAGCGAATGTCATGAAAACTATCGCAAATGTTTTGCGGATCGCTCCAGTATTAATTAGTTTGCTGAGCTAGTACAACTTTGAAAACAAAGACGGTGCTTTTTTTAAAAGAAGAAAAAAAATCAATTTTGTGGAAATCGTTAACATACAAAAAAATCTCAAATCTCCTCCAACCAATAAAACCTAAATGAAAAATGAGTAAAAAAGTATTTGGTATGTGATAATCAGATTTAAAAAAATCTTGTGCAGTTTATGCTAAAATCATTTATATCTGTAAAACCTATTTGAACTGAATGATAACGTATATAATTAGAGAAAACTGGGAAAAATATTGAGGTATGATACAATATATACAAAATGATGTTTTTACTCATATTTTAAACAGGATCCAATCATATTCTAAATTTTGTATAAAAATTAAAGAACAAAGAATCGTTAAGGATAGATAAAACAATACTTTGGTTTAGACTAAAAATTTGAAATCAATAATAATGATGTGTTGAATTTTTTATTACCACTACGCCAATACTTTGGATAAGTGTAATTAACGGTATCAAGTTGCTTTACACATAGTTACGCTTCCACACGTTCACAATTATGATTGCAACAGGAGTCTTAGTGATAGATCTTGCTACAATCTCTCAGACTTGGCATAAAGGATTCAAATACAACGTGTTCTCGTGGGTAGAACCGAAGTTGTTAATGGATATGCTAGTGCAGACCTTTATCAGGTACATCTGATGAAGATATGCTTAGAATGTCGAAACATAGTCCAAAACTTACTAGATAAAGGCAGTCAGTCCGTTACGAATGCCTTTCAAGTAGACTTATACTCTCCTGCGTCTAAGCCTTCTCTTAAGCAGTACACTCAATTATTGTTGGTAAAATTGTCCGGCCCTTTGGCGAGGAATAAGTGATTATTGTTAGTTATAACTATGTAATGTTTTGGTGTCATACCATTAAATATTATTATTGTATGGTGTCTCATTATTGGATAAATGATTTCAAGTACCCTGCATATGGATATTACAACAATTTCAACTTTGAAAAATTACTGTTTTTTTTTCTTTCAGCATAAAGCTAACATTATTATGAATAAATAATATTTATACATAGGTATGTATTAGGTCGTAAAACATTAATGTCGCTTTTTTAGATGAAAAAACTCGAACAACTTATATATCAAAACAAAACATTTATTAAATGAA